GGCCGAACGCCCGCCGCAGAAACAACATCGAGGTGTCCGATGACCCGAACGAGATGAAGAAGCTCTTCGCCAAGATGGCGCCGGATCTCATTCGCCAGGTGCAGATGACCCCCATCCGCCGGAGCGCCTCCCTGGGCCAGAGCAACACCCTGCCCAATCTGGTGGCCAAGCGCGTGCGTATCCACCGGCCTCGTGGCTACCAACCTCCTGCTCCTCCTCTGTTCCTGCTCCTCCTTATTTCTCCCTGCCGGCCATCGGAGGGGCGATGGCGTCCTGACATGCCTGACCCCCACACACACGCACACACACACACACACACATACACACACACCCGCGACACTCACACCTCGCTCGATCCTCCACCCGATGGGCCCCTCCCATGGCTCTCCCCCTCTTTGGCCCCTCCGTGCCTTGCATGATCGCCACGCCCCCGCAGGTCATCGGCCCCAACGACCCGTGCCCCTGCGGGTCCGGGCAGAAGCTGAAGAAGTGCTGCAAGCCCGGCCGCAAGTGAGCGCGCCCCCGCTTGCGGCCTCGCCTTTCCGTCGGGGGAAGGGGGGAGAGGTGCCTTCCTTCTTTCTTTCCTCCTCCCTCCCCGCCCCCAGCCTCCGGCCAAGGGGCACCACGCGCCGCCCTCGCCAGCACGCCCTGCCCCCTGGAAATAGACAAGCAACACATCACACACGGAGACACACGGAGACACACGCCCACGCACCCACACGCCCTGAGCCCACAATCAGAAACCGCGTTGACCACGTGGAACATGGCCGCTGGGCCGGCGCCGTGCGCCAATGAGCCCCCGCCCCGGACCGGGGGCAGGGACGCCCCACAAGGCCCCCTCCCCCGACACCGCCACCGCCCCCCCCCCCCTCCGCCCCCTCCTCGCCCTTTTCGCACCCTCTAGCACCCCTCTCCCGGATCCCACGATGCAAGTCTGCGCCCTGATCAGCGGCGGCAAGGACTCGCTGATGGCCATGAACCTGGCGCTCCAGGATGGCCACGCGATTATCGCCCTGGCGAACCTCTTCCCGCCGGTCACTCACGGATCGGGTGCGTAGCTGG